ACTGAATCCCGAGGATGCACAGCCCAGTGATTCAGAATTGCAGCACACTTTCTGTGTGGTTCTTAAGCATTTGGCTTCCCGTTGGCAAGAGGTTATCCAGTGTCGGTTTTACAGCTTGCCACGTCATAATATTCATGGAATAATACAGCGGTTTCTGGTCCCTTCCATATGTTATGTAAACGTTCAAGGCGGGTTTTGCCCGGTTTCTCATGGATCGGTTAGTATCGTTTCTCTAAAAGGAAAGTTCTCATCTCAACTGTCTTTTCTCCAAATTTAGTCCTATTTCCGTATGTGAAAGATCGTCTGTTTCTTGTATATGACCGACAATGCCAGACGTTCGTGCTTGGTTCTGATAGACCACGAGATTCTCGTTTTAAATCTAGTTTTAATGAAGTTACTAATTCTGAAATAATGCCCTAATGTATTTTTGGTTTTAGAACTTTTTGACAACTACATGCAACAAGATGCCCATGAATTCTTAAATTACCTACTAAATACAATTGCTGATATCTTACAAGAAGAGAGAAAGCAGGAAAAGCAAAATGGCCGTTTACCTAATGGTAATATCGACAGCGAAAATAACAGCAGCCCACCAGACCCAACGTGGGTTCATGAGATTTTTCAGGGAACATTAACAAATGAAACCAGATGTCTTACTTGTGAAACCGTAAGTATATCGTAAAATTTTAGAGGGAGCAAATTTACTTCCTTTTTACCGAAAGTTCTTTGGAGGATGAGTGAGAGTGGAACGCGAGGCTGGAATTTCTTAGGTGTAGGATAAACGAAGATTAAAGATGTACCTGTCACTTGAAAGGGATCTGTCTACACTTTTTCCATAATGTTGTTTATTAACAGTGAATACCCGCGACGACAGAAAAAGTAACTTCCTGCAGTTTCGGACCACAGTTGACCCTTGAACACTAGGGGGTCGAACTTCCTGGGTCCACCCGTTTGCGGATTTTTTTTTTTTTTTTTTTTTTTTTTTTTTTTTTGGATACAGTACCGTAAATGTATTTTCTTCATAACGTTTTCTTTTCTCTAGCTTACTTTACTGATACCACGATACATATACAAAGTGTGTGTTAATCAAGTGTGTGCGTTATCGGTAAGGCTTTTCTGGTCAACAGCCGGCCGTTAGTAGTTAGCTTTTTGAGGAGTCGAAAGTTACGCCCAGATTTTCAACCGCAGCGGGGGTATGGGTTGGGGAGTTCGGTGCCCCTGACCCCCCTCTGCATTGTTCAAGGATCAACCGTGTTTGATTCTGTTTCAGTAGAAGAGGCCAGAGAGCCGGGTTCTGGAAATTCTATGTCTGTGTGTCAGGCAAGCCCATAAGAAACTTACAGGTCAGGGAGGCACATGCGTCTGTTTTTCCTTTCCCTACAGTTATGTGTCTTGTTGGAATAAAAACTAAAGCATATTTGTTATACTCCGCGGGGAAGGCACCCGCTTGCTGGATACTTTGTAAAGACGAGCAGTAGGGAGGAAGCCCAAAAATGAATTCCACTGGATTCCACTGGATTCCACATGGGATCGGATAACTCAGTCCTTTTGTTATATCGTTACCTTGTTACCTCATTTCTCACTTGAGGAATGAAAGATCAGACTCTTGTTTAATCAGGCATCCATTACTCCGTTTTGCCGGTTGAGCCAACGGTGTCCTTCACGGCATTTCTGCCCCTGCAACCGAATCTGGTTAAGAGTTTGCTCGAGCGGTGTGCATTTCATATAGTGGTCATGTTTTCTCTAGCCGCCTTTAATCTGGAACATTCCCATAGTGTTTTTGGTCTTTTATGACATTTGTTTTACATTTTAAAAGAAGATGTGCCTCCTTTTTAAAAACAGTTGAACATTGCTCTTACCGAGTTTGCCCGATGCTTCCTTCTAATTAGATGCAGGTGTGTTCTTGGCTGGAGTGGCTGGAGTGGTCAGTTAGTGTTGTGTCCTTCTCAGGGCATCCTGTCTGGGCACACAGTACCCACCTGCCTCTTGATGGGGAAATTAACTTTGATCTCCCATTCAAATTGTTGTTCAGTTTCTCCGCTTGGTGATGACCAGCCTTTATGCCCTTGTAACTAGTGGGCAGTCTGTGGGGAGACACAAATACCTTGTTCTTCATCAAAATCTCCCCTAGGATCCAGCATCCACTGAGGATTTTTGCCTGACTCAGCCTTCAGTATGATGGTCGTACTACTAGTTTTAAGAGGAGAGGAGCATCGTCCAGGGGAAAAGAGTCCACGGCGAGAAAAGATCAGATGTTGGGAAGAATAACATAGTTCCTTGGTTGACTAGATCAGGTAAACTTACACTGGCGGAGGCTAATAAGGAACTGTATTCTTCTTTTTTAATTAATAGACTTCAGAAGAATTGAGTGGAAAGTACAGAAAGTTCCCAAATACCTCCTCTCCTCCACTTCCCCGTTATTAACATCTTGCACTACTGAGGTGCATTGGTTGCAGTTGATGGGCCAGTAATTGAGGGGTACATTATCAGCTAATTCTGTAGTCCATATTTTAGTTCACTCTTGGTATCATCTGTTCTGTGGTTCTGTTTATTTTGACATACGTATAATGACCCGTGTCTTTCACTACAGTATGATACAGAGTAGTTTCAGTGCCCTAAAAATCCTCTGTGCTTCACAGATTCATCCCTCCTTCCTCCCCAAATCCCTGGCAACCATCGGTCATTTTACTGCCTCCATAGTTTTGACTTTTGCAGGGTGACATGTACAGTTGGAATCGTAGATATGAGTGAGGCCTTTTCAGATTTCTCCTTTCTCTTAGCAATATGTACCTAAGGTGTCTCCATGTCTTTTTGTAGCCTGGCAGCCCGTTTCTTTTTACCACGGAATTCTGTTTCATCGTGTGGACAGATCACAGTTTATCCATTCATATGCTGAAGGATGTCTAGGTTGCCTCCCACTTATGATGATTATTGCTTTGTCTTCTCTGGGCCTCTTGCCTCTGCATGTAAACTGTAGAATCATAAAAGATTTAGAAACTGGTTTATTATCCATAAAATAATGTGCTGTGATTTTGAATGGATTGTGTTGACTCTGTTGATCAAGTTGGGCAGAACTGAGTTCTTGACAATGTTGAGTCTTTACTGTCCATTTACATGGACTCTACATTTATTTACATCTTTCTTATGGAAGAAGTCATCTTGTCGTTGTCCTCGTGTTGATCTTGTACATACTTTGTTAGCTTTACATACCTAAGTGTGGGGGTTTTTTGTTGTTCTTTTGTCTTTTGTTTTGTTTTTGGTGCTAATATAAACAGTAGTGCGGTTTCTTTCTCTTAAAGCAAATAGTGATCCTTTTGATTCAACCATGAATAAAAAGATAGGCTCTTTCAGTGGAACCCTGACCAATAAAGATGAGTGACTGTTGACTGTTGATTATGCGTTCATCTTTTTAACTATAACCAGAGCTCTGCAGGGCGATCATTGTCAACAGTGTAATTTTAGTTAATGAAAGGACACAGTTGTAATAAATAAAATTCTCTTTTGTGAATCCATTTTTATTGGTGAACCTCTTTCACATCAAGCAAAAGAGGTTTAACTGAATGCTTGACTGCATTAACATCCTGTGTGGGTGTTTTTGGGTTAGAGTAAGGATTACTGTTTGTTGTTGTAGTCATTGCAGTAAGAGCTTGACTGGGCAGTGTTTGATGGCAGGAATTGGTCTCAGGACTCACCTTTATTCGATCTGAGCAACTCCACTGGTTTTAACATGAGTTTTATAGAGACATATTATAAAAAAAAATTCTGTTGTAGCTGAATTCCAAGCTTTTTGGAAATAGACTGAGCGGTGTTTCAATTGGAAGAGTGGGTTGAATCAGAATTTGGCAGTTGGTTGGTGTTTGGTGTGATGAAATTTGGTCTGTGTTCGAAGACCTGTATGATTCATCCTCTTCAAGAAGACAGAAGATAGTTAAATTTGCTTAGCATGTTGGGAAATGTAGTTTTGGTGAAGCTGGCAGAGTAGATTTGGGACCCTGTGGAGGTCTTTGGGATGCTGTGGTGCCAGGCCTTGGAAGCTTATTTTGTAGACTGGGGACAATGGGGGATGAGGATTAGATGTTTTTGAAGGACAAAGTGATGTCACCCATCCTTGGTTGCTCAAATATTTATTTTATTCGCAACGGATGGCTAGTGATCCTTCCCCCCATTCTTTGCTAGGTCCTCCTGTGGCCTGCAGTCTATATTTGCAGATAGTTTCCCAAGAATTAAAGGTATGAATTGAGAATATTTCCTCAGAATCCCAGTCATTATCTTGCAGATTCAGTAAATGGTCATCAGTACCCCATGGCCTTTATCAAACTCAGCTAGAGGGATGAAATTGAGAATTTCTGAAGAGTGAATATGTATCATTTCTTTAGTTTTGCATAAATATTTAAGTGCCAGCCGGGCCAGGTAGAAGATGGGTAGAGGTTGGCAGAAGGTGAGTAAGACATAGAGATCCTGATCTGCAGCTGCTCGTAGAGGAGTACAGACCGGTCACAGGCAGACAATTCCGGTCCAGTACGTTACGGTTCAGGTAAGCACAAGAGCCCGCGCGAGTCAGAGAACAAGGAGACCTGACCTCTCCACGTAGGAGTGGGCTTCTTGGAGGAGGCAGTGTTTGTGTGGCAGGTGTTGGTGACGCGGTTGTTGATACCCCAGTTGGTTAGGAGGCTGGGTCCCTGTAACAACTCTGTCTTCTGATGGTTTCTTCTTGGCCTCATTCCTTTTCTTCTGTTTAGTCTTTAAATGTGGGTGTCCTCCAGGCTTTCACTTTGGGTGGCTTCTCACTCTGCATCGGGAGGGTCGCGGTCCGTTTTCGTTCCCCTCCTGTGCTGATGACTCCCCACCCACGTCTCCAGCTTAGACTGCTTCTCTGAGTCTCCCACATCCTGGGTGTGACCTGACGTTAGAGCATGGGAGTCCGACAACAAGCAGACATGTTTACAAAACACTTTTGCAAGTTAAATAGTGCCCCACTCGGTGATTGCCTGGTACCAGCACGCTTGTGAACCCAAACATAGTAACTCAGATATATCCAGATGATCCAGAGCCTCCTTCTATATCATAAAGATGGAAATGTAAAATGAAGACCGCCGAGGCAGCGCCTGAGAACCCGCAGACCTCGTTTTGACAAACACCAGGCTCTTAAATCTTCACTCCTTTTTGGCCTGCACGTAAAGCCGCGTGTTAGCCTGTCTCTGCCACGCCATCCCGTGCCACCCTCCTCTCCTTCCTCCAAAACGGAGCTGATTCTTTTTCCTTAAGCACCTCTGTTCCCTTTCCTCTCTCTGTGCCATCTTCCTTATTCTTTCTTGTTCACTGAATCTTTTGTGACCCAGATCACTTACCTCACGGTGTCACTGTACCTTGTGCGCACGGTAAAAACGTACTCCTGTTGGCATAAGGGCATAGTAGATGCGGCTCCAAATCCGTGCAGCTACACGATGTATCACGAGTTACTGATGCCGAGCTCCTGAAACAGGTGCGCCGTTGAAGCAGGAGAGCACTTACCCCCCGGGGGTACGGCCGTGGTGGGTGCGAGGCTCCGCCAGAGCTCTGTTGCACGCTCACCCCGGGCAGAGAGTCGTCGAAGGAAAGAGCTAGGAAGAGCGACGTCTGCAGTTCCACCCTAATCCTGTTCAAACCAATAAGCACTAATTTTTTTTATCAGATGATTTAGCCATAATTCAAACAGAACCTTACGTTAGGTTTTTTCAGGGAAGGATTAGAAAAGGTCATCAATGAAGATTGTAATTTGGCATTTTAGGCTATAATTATTTCCTTGAATGATAAAACAACACGGGCGTCAGGCCCTTGCCAAGCATCCTCATTCCGTCTTGGCCTGTGTGTGCGTGCGTGCGTGTGTTTTAAGTATCAGTGTACATGGGCAGTTTGTTTCGTGCTTGACAACAATACCAAGATTCGGGAAGGTGATGGGATTTGACATCCTCGCCTCTGCCAGTAAGGAAATCGGTCCCAGATGTACTTTGCTGTTTAACCTGTCCACATGATGAGAGTCGTTTACTCAGTGTCCCGTTGGATAATCCAGATCAAGGAGATTTCTTGTGAATTTGGGGGGAAAAAGAATTCTTCATATACCTACTACTAATAGAATGAATTTAATTCTATCATTTCAGAGCAGTGATTTACTGATATTTTAAAAAATCAAAGGTAATTCCCTGTTTTTCCAGATAAGCAGCAAAGATGAAGATTTTTTAGACCTTTCTGTTGACGTGGAACAAAACACATCGATCACTCACTGCTTAAGGTAATTGTAGATGTATTTATGTTGACATTTAATGAATGTCTTTGGTTTAGAATATTTTGAAACACACAGTTTTCCGGTATAGACAAAATAAATTTATTTTGAATTTTACACAGGGGTTTTAGCAACACAGAAACTCTGTGCAGTGAATACAAATATTACTGTGAAGAATGTCGCAGCAAACAGGAGGCACACAAACGGTAATTTAGAGTTTTTAAACTGTTTTAGTGATTTCTCTGGCAATGGATGTTATCGATGGGCTTTTCTAGCTGAAAGGGATGTGTGAAAATTTACACTGAGTACAACTTTTGAATGTTATCGTTGAGTAATGAAGACGCATTAAGTTATTGCCAGATCAACAGTATTCCACTCTCCACCCTCAGGCCACTTTCTACACTTGTTTAACAATCCTAAACCAGTACGGTTAAAATATTTGACTTCGAAGCTTTGCTGCCTGTGTAGCTTTTTCCTTGGTGGGGAGAGGTAGGGGGAGCTGTACCCGAGTTTCTGCTCTTCCCACATGGGATGTTTACCTTCTCTTCTTTGGGATTCGGTGTCAGGGAATGGAGTCGTCATCATCATTCTCGTTGCCTTACTTCTTACTTTGAAACAATCTCAAAGACAAAAGCTGTATGAACCATACCAAGAATGCTATTTTACCCTAAATCGTTTGAAAATAAGGTCCTGGTGCGATGTCCCACGATCCTGGACACTTGAGTGGCCATTTCCTACCAACAAGGAGGTTTTCCCATGGCCGTATTCACCCACACGGGGAAAGTCACACCGACACGCCACTGTTCTCGTAGACCTTATTTTATTAGCGCAGATGTCCCGGTAATGTCCCTTAAGGAAAAAAGGATCCAGTCCAGAAACGTACATTACATTTAGTATTTGTGTCTCTTTAGTCTCTACATTTGGAACAGTTCTTTAGTCTCTTGTTGACTTTAAAAATCTTGAGAGTTTTGAAGATTACCGATTCGTTATTTTATAGACCGCCCTCTTTGGGGTCATCTCGTGTTTTCTTAGGATTAGGTTCAGGTTATGGATTCTGGGTGGGAGTCCCCCAGAAGTGATGCTCTCTTCTTCCCGTTGTATCCTCTTAAGTGACACATGGTGTGTGGGGGTCCCTAAGACCACGCCGGACACTCACTAGAAGGACTCACAGGACTCCGTGTATGTAGTCATGCTCACAGCTGACTTATTACAGGGAAAGGTGACAAAGCACGTCAGCAAAGCAGAAAACCAGGTGAGCTTCCAGGAGTCCAGTCCCATGGAGTCACGTGGGCATACTTCACTCCTGTAGCATTGAATGTGATGTGGGAAAAGTGTTTTCTGCTAGGGAGGCTCATTATAGACTCAGTGTCCAGTGTTTTAAACTGAAGGCTAGGGGCGCCTGGGTGGCACAGTCGGTTAAGCGTCCGACTTCAGCCAGGTCACGATCTCGCGGTCCGTGAGTTCGAGCCCCGCGTCAGGCTCTGGGCTGATGGCTCAGAGCCTGGAGCCTGTTTCCGATTCTGTGTCTCCCTCTCTCTCTGTCCCTCCCCCGTTCATGCTCTGTCTCTCTCTGTCCCCAAAATAAATAAACGTTGAAAAAAAAAAATTTTTAAACTGAAGGCTAGGCGCCCTCTGCCAGGATGTACCAAAATTCCAGACTCTCAGAAGGAAAACAGGTGTTGAGCATAAGCCACATTGTTTGTTCAAACAATTTAGGCGTGTTGAGACACGCTTATCATTTAGGGACACTCCTCAAATCCAAATTCTCATATATTAACCAAGGATCACCCTTATAAGCAGACCTTTCTAAAAGAAGTGTTTTTTTTAAGCGTTTCTTTATTATTGAGAGACAGGAGGGTGACAGAGTATGTGCAGGGGAGGGGCAGAGAGAGAGGGAGACACAGAATCCGAAGCAGGCTCCAGGCTCTGAGCTGTCAGCATAGAGCCCAATGCGGGGCTCGAACCCCCAAACCACGAGATCATGACTTGAGCCAGAGTGGGACACTTAACCAACTGAGCCACCCAGGGGCCCCACAAGCAGACCTTTGAAAAGACAGTCTGAGGCCCGCTAGGTTAACCCTTTTCTGCACATCCCATTACTGGTGCTGTTATCTTTGAGCACTTGATTTAGGGGATGTCTCCCAGAGTTCTTCACTCTTACGCTATGTTTTTGCTCATGTATAATTCATAAGTATTTTGTGTGGAGGTTATTTTTAGATTGTAAATACACCCATTCCTCATCAGACTTCTAATATTTTTCATTTTCTAAATCTCAGTTTGGATTCCAGGGTTTTTTTTGTTTGTTTGTTTTTTTCAGTGGGTTATGATCCCTTGCCATTCTTACTTTTTTTATGTGCAAATGATCCCCGATTTGGCCAGCGGGAACCCCTTCAAGCTGGTGCCTGTGTCTTTATGACATGTCCCCTCATCCTTGAGTGTTTCTTTACTTTCTGGCACCACAAGATACTCCTGGCTCATTTTCTCATTTTGTACTTGCCTTGCCCCCACTCTGGTCCAGCCATTTCTCCAGAGAGACCTGGTTCCTTTGAGGAGGAGAATGATGTTTAGAAAGCAAGACTCTGATAGAGGTGTGCTCCCTGCTATCAGGATGTTTCTGTCCTCGAGCCCCCTGGGTGAGCAGAGCTGGAGGGTGGGGGTATATACTCACATCTGTACCTGTGTATCTTGCCTGTTGATCTTTCCGTATTAAAAAACCATAAATTCCCAATTTCACATCTGTATCTGTGTATCTTGACTGTTGATCTTTCCGTATTGAAAAACCATAAGTTCCCAATTAAATTCCCAATTTCACGTCTCTGCCTGTGTCTCTTGCCTGTTGATCTTTCCATATTGAAAAACCATGAATTCACAATCAAATCCCCAATTTCAGCCAACACCATAGGGTCCATTCTAGTTTTCTCCTTTTTCATATTTGTGGTTTCCTTCTCTGAAAGTAAAAATTGGCTCACGTTATCTTTCTGTATTTATTTAATTGTTCAGTGACCTTGTAGGTGACCGGTCTTCTCCCTCCACCCCCACCATGCACACATGTCATACAGACATGCTCTTTGCTCTGCTTGGGTTTCCCCTCTCCCCTGACGGCACAGCCGTCTACCTAGTATGGCCCCACCTGACGGTTGAACTGAAATGTTCATGAAAAGAAGAACTTAGGTTTTTAAATGATTATCTTTTTGTTTTTATTTTGGACACAGATACATTTATTAGGAAGGGAGGGGTTTTAGGTAGTGGACACAGGTAATCAAAGCAGATGACTCATTGTTCTCTTCTGTTAGTGAAGATGATTGGGGTGGGTACTTCACATAAGTTTGGGAGAGGACGTATCAGATTAATCCTGAAAGTGTAGAAGGTGTCTAAGACTGTTGGTTAAGGAAGACAGAGTCAAGGACTAAATGTAACTAAGAGGAATCCGACTCGCGAACTTCTTTGGCCACACGGAGGAAGGCGTATCTGTGAGCCTGGCCGGTCTTCGTACAGAATGACAAATAGCCGTATATGTAATTAAAGATGGTTTACAAACTCAAGCTGTTTGTTCTGTAGACATCCATGAGATTTTAATATATCATTTAATATGAGGTTTTTTGTTAATATACATGGGGAATATATATATATATGCTCTGTAAAGAAATTAGAAAATATAGATAAGTATACATCAATTAAGAATCATTATGAAAGCGCTGTTAACATTTTTGTGTATCCTGGATTTTTGAAGGGTGTCTGTATGCACACATGTATGTAATTTTTGCAATGGAATCAAATTTTTATATGCAGTTTTGTAGCTTTTTTCACTTAATAAATGACAAGCATGTCACTAAAAGTATATTTTTACATCATTCTGAAGAGGTGCTTCATAGACTTTTTGTATGGGCGTACCATAATATACCATAATCTGTGAACTGTGTTCACGGCTAAATCTAATAGCTTAGATTGTTCCCATTTTTTTTTTTTTTTTTTTTTTTTTTTTTTTTTTTTTTTTTTTTTTTTACTGTTACATTGCTTTGGTGAACGTGCATATTTTGTATGTATATGCCCACCAACAGACACATTTTCACACAGTTTTTAGAGTATTTCTGTAGGATAAGTTGCATGTTAGTTTACGGAAAGACAGCAATACAGAAATTATCTATTTTCTACTAGGATCTAGCGTCAGCCCTTCTGATAACTTGCGTTGTAATATTGAGCAAGTCTGATTTAATCTTTTTGGGTCTCACTTGCAATAGTTGACATCTACCAGCTCTTAGTCTCAGACTAAGAGAGTAAGATTGTGTTGGATATACAGATCATAGTTCTTATTAAAGAAACAAAAACCGGTTTGACTTTAAAAGGTTTCAGTCTGGATGAAGTACAAAAACCACGGGATCATCTCAGTGGACACAGAAGAAGCATTTGAGAAAATTCAACACCCGTCCATGATAAAAACACTCAGCAAACTAGGGATAGAAGGAACATACCTCAACATAATAAAGGCCATCTATAACAAGCCCACAGCTAACATCAGACCCAGTGGTTAAAAAAATAAGAGCTTTTTCTCTAGGATCAGGAACAAGACAAGGATGCCTAGTCTGGCCATCATTCAGCATAGTATTAGAAATCCTAGTCCGGGCACTTAGGCAAAAAAAAGAAAAAGAAATAATAGGCATCCAAAAGGGAAAGGAAGAAGTCAGATTATCTCTGTTCACAGATAACGATCGCATTGACAGAAAACCCTAAAGATGAAACAACAACAAGAAAAAAAGCCTTGTTAGAACTAATCAATTCAGCAGACGTGCAGATACGAAATCAACATGCAAAAATCGATTGCATTTCTGGGCACTAACTGAACAATCCGAAAAGAAAATTAACAAAAGAATCCCATTTACAGTAGCATCAAAGGGAATAAAATACTTAGAAATGGATTTAACGATGGGGGCTAAAGACTTGTACCCTGAAAACTTAAAATGTTACTGAAAAATTAAAGAAGATATGTACAAATAAATGGAAAGATATCTTGCGTTTATGGATAGGAAGACTTAATACTGTTAAAATGGTCATACTACCTAGAAGAGTCTACAGATTCAGTTTAACCTCTCTCAAAATCTCCATAGCAGTTTTTGATGAAATAGGGGAAAAACACACCCAAGATTCATAGGAGAAATCTCGAAGGACTCTTAAAGCCAAAACAGTCTTTAAAGGAAAACAAAGCTGGAGG